CAAAACAAAGTAAATAAATGTTTAATTTAGTTTATTGGCTGGTAGTGAAGATTGTGTGAGAGGGCTGAAGTGTAAGCAAGACAGAGGAAACAGAGATTGTAAGCGAGATAGATTGGGTTAGTGATCTCGTGAGACGGCAATAATAACGACTAGCTGGTCTCAAGACATGCATCAGGCACAGCTGGTCCACGAGTGCACGAACTCGATTGTTTGCTCTTTGGTACGCAATTTTTCGAGGATTACCCCGAGGAGCATGTTGATGATGCTGCTGTAAGATGCTCACACTAAGATTATTTGGCGCCCCGAATACTTTGTATGCCTCTCCTTTTCATTCTTGAACAGATGGTCTCACTAGTACTTGGTTAATCAGAAAGGGTGTAACAAATGAAGTAAGAGCACAAACAAATAAATCATGCACACGGGGCGAACTACAGAATGGATAATAATCTTACCCAGTATCCATTCGTAAATGCTTCTGTACTATCCTCGCACAAAGGTTTAATGCTTCACTATAGCTGATAGAGAACCCGTCATAATAATCACACTCTTATCTGTCGTGCTGCATATGCTTGCGAAGTAAGGAAGATAGTCGACTCTCGTCTGTCCTGTAGATATTAATCCGGACCATCTAGTAAACATAGATCTCTTACGTGTCTCATGAGTAGGTCACACTTTGTGTTTACGTCTAAAGTTCTTACGAGTCAACGCTCAGTAGTCTGAATAGTTTAAAATACTCTGACTGGCCTGCGGCTCAGAGTTGACTTATTAGCCATAACTAAAACTTTTCCGCTAGAAAAGTTCTTTTAAGGGCTTCTCCACATATCCCTCACTTGAAGAGTGGCTATATATTCTTTGCGTCATCTCCTCCAGATGTTTCACTTGTCTTTATCTCTTAAAAATGCAGTCATTCTGAAATGTACCTATACATGATCCTTTTTTGCTTCGAACAAAAAGTAATTTATCTTGTGTTAATACTGCACGTATACTGACGCAATCCGTCACCGATTGCAGAGGTCTGTGATTCAAACTTACTTTGGCTTCAAACAGAAACTTTTTTAAATGTTCTGCCGATATACCCCGTTCTCTAATTGCAGCACTCAGCACTCATTATACCTATTAATACTTCCCATAACCCTCTATGGTTAGCAGCTTCAGAAATATTGAATCTCTAATCTGTCACAAAGCAGCAGTTTCACATGTATTACCTCTTCTGAATCCCCCAGCTGCTTCTTCAACTCCAACCGATTATCTGCTAAATTTGTCTCTATCTGTAAATATCACCCTCGAGGTACCACTTCAATTTATCAGTCGAAGGTGAATTAATATGGCGAATCTTTGGTCATGGTGTGAGCCACCTCACTTCATACAGCATTTCTACACTATGTAGACATTTTTATGATCGATTTGATGGCCGTTAAAAATAGAGCGCAGTGCTGTTGCTGGTTTGATGTATACATTTACTCAACTGTTCACGTTTTGCCATTTAAACCTGTTTATATTCCAAGGTTAGTTGTTGATTGACTCCACAGATGTAACTTGCATGAAGAAACAAAACATCAGAAATACAAGTTTATACTCACAGAGATAGTACCAAAAGATTTAATTATTATAGTAGAAATATCTGCTTTGTTTTACGAAAAATAGTCTTTGCTGTATATCGAGGGCTTTTAGTCCTTCTCAATGTCCCTAGTTTTAGTTTACTATACCCAAGAAGAGACCACTACTTTTGCTCATATATTTATCCTTTTTATATTATATGAATTTTTTTGAGGACTCATTTGTTGCTATTTAACTATTACCACTAAGCGTCAGGAAGACAGATTAATGAAATGTTCTGTCAACTCAACAATGTTGATGAACCTCAGTGGAAAACCTTCCTCAATCGGATGACACAACATGAACCACATTTTATTCGACTAGACACTACCTCCATAATTGTTATTGGATTTAATGGACTTTCCATATTCATTGGAAAACTACATATTTCTGAAAACCATCAAACTATCCTACGAACCAGTAAAATCTCTTGATTCTTTGCTCATTAGTTTGCCATTGCCCTTTACGGCACATTCTCAACAGAAATCCCAAGGATTAAATCTAAATCGAGAAGTAGACTCAAACACTAATAATAATAATTTCTCAAATAACTAAGTTACAAGAGTCACGCCAGTTTACAGGCTAGATCAAATTGTCACAAATGCTTTTACAATCACTGTAAAAGTTATAGCAGTTAAATTAAGTATAAGAGACAGTTTCTGATTGCATTTTTACACCATATCACTGACAGAAACAGTATTATACAGCCACATTTTCAATATTAGAGTACAAATAAGGAAGGAAGGTGCACAATAGGTTCTTTTGGCGATTTGCCGAGATCAATAGTGAATTTGTTGGGAAAGGTCATATGGAACGCGCTTGATACGAGCTGTGATCCAGACAGTCATGTACATTGGGTGCATGTTCCTTAGAGTCGCCAAGGATTTCCTACCGTGAATGGGGTTCTGAAAAGGAGAAGAGAGAGAGGAAAAGGCAGCAGTGTGGCAAGTGTATATATATAACCAAAGCACTACTTAACCTGTCATGTTAAAGTAGTCAATACAGTAGTAAGTCAAGATAACATTCATACTGACCACTTAAATTAAAGTAAATTATGGGAATATAAGAATATAACGCACAGATAAAGGAGTACAGCAAAAGGAAGGGAGAGTTGTGCAGTGTCAGGTGGATAGAAGAGAAGTCGAAGTAAGAAGCTGGATTTATGTACGTTGAAATCGAAATTCTAGTTAAAAGAGTAGAGTTTGTAAAAATAAATATTTGATGAATAAAATCTCGTACTGTCTAACTGTTTTTGTTTTCTTTATTATTGAATGCCAACCTCTAAGTCATACTGTAAGCGCCTGAGTAAGAATGTTGCAGGTGTCTCAACAGAATAGCGACCTCAGCATAGTTTTGGAAACATGAACCACAGAAGTAGCAAGCGTATAAGAGCGACCTCAGTGTTACTGATTAGTCGTCTCATCAATCTAAAGAGCCGAAAGCAAACAAAATGTTCTGCCCCACAAACATGGGTTGTTTGAAATTATCGCCCATACCATCAATGTTTGCTGGTCAGTAACTCCACCCTCCCTCCTTTTGTGTTGTTAGGCTCATGTTAAATGTTCAAAAGAAGCTATTGAGTTCTACTTGGTGTTCTATGTCTCGCATCCTGTTGAGAAACACTATTTCTGCAAGTTCCTTTCACAAACTCGTCTGGCTATTACAACTTATGAACTATTGGTTAGGCATCAATGCAATACAGTTAACAGTTATGGAGAAATAGTAAGAATTTTCAAACAAGATATAAGCATTTTGAATGTAGTGGGGAAGATGTACTTAACTAGCTAAGCAGGAGATATAAAGAGTATCGCGGTTAAAAGCGGAGCAATAGATAACACTAAGGGGCCAAGGTAAGTCAATAGCGTGTAAGTGAGAACAGTATAATTGATAATAGGCAATGTGAAACTCACACAGTTGTAAGTGTTGATAAAGTTGCGCCCAGGAGAGTAGAGTGCATTCTAATCAACCAGTTTACAGTTGAACAGTGTCGAACGACCCAGTTAGTAGAGTAAACTGTCTATTTCAAATAAAAACTAAAGAGATTTATATTCAACTAGAAAAATTAGTGCTACTTGTGAGTGTAAAAATAACTAAATAAGACGCAGCACTGAGTTCATTGTGTTTAAAGTGTATGCAGAGCTATTAATATGAAAGCAGGGTGCGAGTGAGTTCACGAGCGCAGAAGAGTCAGTGCAACTGAGAGCATCATTAAGAAGTTGAACTAACTCATGTAACCCACTTGCCATGCGTATTTTAGAGGGAAGCCTATTCCATATAAGTGCATACTGTAGATTTATTTCGACAGTGGCTGTCCCAATTGTTTCCTATAGAAACACTCCTGTACGTTCCTCCTAGTTCCGGGTCTCGACCAAATCAAAAAGGGCAAAATTCTAGGAGAAAACGTCTCTATATTATTATAAAATGGAAATACAAAGTCTTACGGAATTTGTGTTTCTTCCAGGGTTAAATTACTCCGCAGAGTATCCAACACAATAGCCGATAAGTGAAGCTAAGTCCAGCAGCCACAGCGTCCGTCCGAAAATGTGGCGGTAGCCATATTATATCAAATTTAAACAATATATGTACAGTTCAGAAGCAAACACAAAAACTTCAATATAAGTACAAATATAGAAAGAACAACAATATACAATGATAAAATTTCAAATTGGAATCAAATAAAATACCAAAAATGTCAAGAGAAAAAGTCCATCATGTCATAGCAAAAATATGTAAACATGGAGGGATTTTCCAAAAACACAAAACATTCAAAAAGAATTCTACACCGGCCCGCAAAATCCCTCCATGCAAAAAGAGCAAGCGTTAATGACACTTTACTTAGGGTCCCCAGTTATCCCCTAATCCACACCGGAATAACGTGTAGGACTTACAGCAGTACGCCTACCCGCCATCCAACATGGATATGACCTATCGTGTTAACTAGGTACCTATACTTTCCCATCAGGCCCTTGATTCCCCTATCTATCGTGGAATGACCTAACGGTAGTATAAACCTTACCCAATTAACCCACACGAACATGAACAACACGTCGCAAAACTGGTCATATCCTATTCGAAGACTACATTCTCTATCATGGGGACGAGTCGCCAATCCACCACCGCTTGCTCCGATCAGCAGATACCATGAAGTCCGTGATGCTAGCTTATCAACAGAAGTTCTTGACCCATAGATAATATGCAAGGGTGAGATTTCCAATTTTGACATTTCATCGTCTCCAGAAGACCTTAAGTAGCATGACGTAGGATCAATATTTATCCTTCCATCTCCTGATGCAGAGGAGGTTTGAACAGTATTCATCATCGTCGGTAACTCATTTGTCACATCAGTGACATCCAGTTTATTATCAACGTCTAAATGATTCCGTTCTGCATTAGCATCCGTTTCCGCGGCACAAGACAAATGCTCAACAATAGCATCGTCATCACACAGCACTGTAGACTGGCTGTTACCATCAAACACTTTCTTCTCATCATCACTCGACTGACAGTCAACCGGAATAGGAACAGTTACAGTTGCACAACCTTGTGCATCTTCAATCAACTTAACCTTCGTGACGAGGACCGATGGCGTCGAAACACTAGGAGGCTCATTCGATGAAGTTGATAAACTAGTCCCTATAAGCGAACTGCTGACACTTTCTATATCCTTATTATCACTGTCACTACTAAGGTTCTGATGGCTACTATTTCCATGGCTAGTCGTAGCATCCGAAAGAGCATGAGGTTCAGGCTTCTTAGTAATAGTAGCATCATGTTGTCTCCTAGGCTTCTTAGCCGTTACTGTACCACCATCACTTATCCTAGAATCTACTCTAGGTCCAGTTATATAATTTACCCTAACTGAAGGGTTCCGAAAATAAGCTTTATTCCGTTCAGTCAATCCTGCCTTGGCCTTAATCATATTTGCTGAACTCATTAACCTCTGATTACTCGAATCCAAATAACCATTCCAGGCTTTTCGAGCAGCTAAGAGGCTTTTATCATCACACACTTCGGATCCATCTTGATGCTTACACTTTTCACCTTTTTCTTTCTTTTCTATACTTAGAAAAGCCATCTTATCTGTTACACCAACCGGCTTCTTGCTAGGATACGCATCAAGAGGCTTTACATCGTCACGGTCACATACTCGGCCTTCAACAGCTTCCAACCCGATATAATTGACAACTCTCTTATCTTCCGGGCGTGCGTTAGGTAGAAACGAAAAGTCCTCATGTCTCGCACGCAGACCACTAGTAGCTTCCGTACTATGTCGTGTTTTAGCCCGATAAGCTAATCTTCCGAACCTACTACTAGCTATCTTAGCACGAGACATAATAAATTCCGTCAATTCGTTAAAATTGGGCTCTCTCTCCTCTTCGTCCCACTTGAATACTAGCTCTGCCCACTGGGCTTGCATTCGACGAGGTAAGAGCCTTACTATTCACGGTAAGATTCTATTGAGCCAGTGGGGAGATCAGAATAAGATACGGATGGAGCAATGTTCTTACGTTTGATTTTATCGAATTTAGTAGCTGATTTGGATCTTTTACAGATGTTATATTCGACAGGTGAAATCAAGTGCTTTTTAGATAAACGTGACATCTTTGTGGAATTATTTGTAAGCAGAGTTGTGTTACTATATGCACAATGTCTGTTTGGAATTATGAAGCCAAAAACTACAGCGAAAATTACTAAAATAAGAATAACCGAGGAGAAGTTGTAAGAGATGAGTTAATATGTACCGTTGAACTAGAGTAAAAAGATCGGAAAACGAAAAAGATAATACACGTGAAAAAAAGGTACAACCTTCAAAGTACGCGCGTATTGTAGAATCAAATCGGGAATCAAACAGTGATAAGTAGATGTGATGAGACCAGCGGAAACTGATATGGCTGGATAATTCATGCCTGCATTATTCGCTAAAACAATGAGATTAGAAGCAAGGATGAATGGTTTAAATGCCTTTTTATTTGGATGAGTCGTTTACTACTACATCTCACAGAACACTTCTGGTGGCAATTCATTTAAATCGGAGAAATATTTAATCATATTGCCAGTAACCTTCGTCATTATAATTCATCATAATGCTTTGATATCGAATTTAGTTTAATGTATACGATATAAAAACTAAATTTGAATAGACATTTACTGGTGCTAGTGTTTTCATGGCTACAATCTTTATGTTGCAAATAAAAGATAGTAATGACGCCTCCAGGATACTCACCTGAACGAAATCCCCAAATATTCTTTGGCTTCATGAGTACAGAGAAATATTGCTCTCAGTGTTACCTGAAGACTACTTGTCCCGAAAATAGCTTAATAATTCTGATTCTGAAGGGACAAGACAATCAAATGATGATGTTAACCTACTGCTCAGAGGCCGACCTTCACGAAGAAACACTTCTTTATTTCTCTCCAATGAAGCTTATAGTTTGAAGGTTTAACTCAATCTAAACTATCTCGCCTATTATCTCTGTTTCCATTCCCTCGATTACACCTCGGGCCTCTCTCACAATCTTCACTACCAAATAATAAACTAAATCATCAACTAAATAAGGCTGGTGTTTGCGCGCGCTTCGAATTTGACGTGGCCTCGCTGACTTTCTTCCATTTACGGGGAACAGTCCATTTTCGGGATACTCTATCACTTCCTAGGCTATAAAAAGTTGTCTCCATTCATTGGTCGACAATCTGAAAACATTTTCGGGCAAACGGAACCATTCCAAGTCAGAACCATTGTGCGGTAGATCTAGCTGCCTCATCCAACTGCTCTTTTTCTAGTTGCTTCGGTAGCATTCAATCACTCACAAACATAGGACTTGTGGACAAGTTACTGGATACACGCAAAGTTAGTTACTAATACGGTCAAAGGTAAAGTTGCAATTTTGGAGTACTTTCAGACTCTATTCCTTGTAGTTATATTATATACTACTAAATTCTTCTTTCCGAAATCCCTTTATTGTGTATCTCGTACTTTAATTATATCGGTTTTCACATCCTAATCTCCCTGGTATCATGTTAAGTAATAAGGTCGCTGGTACATCTTACACTATAACAACCAGGAAATCCTGTAGAGGGATAAACCACGGGGTTAATAGTGCGTCGAAAATCCGAACCTCGTGCGAACGGGCTGTTAAAAAACCCAAACTGTCAGTCAATAGTATGCCTCTCATTGTCCATACTTTTGATCACTCAACGCAAACACCACAGAGGAGGCAAGACACCACTTCTGTTCCCAAAGAGATCAATAAGCTAGTTAAGAATAGGAGAAAAAGACGTTCCAAGGCTCAGTCGACACAGTCCAACGTCCAGAAACCGCATAAGGATGACTCTTTTGCCCGCTTATTACAAGTCAAAATCAGTGAATGTGCTTTCGCATGCAACTTCTGTAGTATATGTGTGCATTGTCACTGCGACACTGCAGTACACCTAAAGAGTACTACGGATTCATGCTGAGCACCCCTGTCCATGGTTCTGGTATATTTGCCCTCAGTGTAGAGTATCTGAGGTATTGGCAAAACCACAGTTCCCAGCCCTATAGTCCAAACGACCAGACCCAAATAGCCTGGCACTAAACTAGTAAAACAAGTGACCAAGGCTATCACAACCCTGCCGAACACACCGACTAAACTGCGGGTTGTTTTTAACCCCCCCAGTACCTGTTAGCAAGACGAAACAGTGGGCGAACGTGAAGAAGGGAAATAGCAACACCCCAAATCACAATCGGCTAACACTCAAGAACAGGGACGACAGATTAAACTCGCTTATCTTATTTAATGTCCCAGTATGGGAAGAACGTTTGCTAGAATGTAGGGCTGCCTTCGACAAAAAGCAGTGGAATAAACACTGCACAACCCTCGGAATGCACAATTTCCCAGCCAAAATATGCCATCTTTTCAAAGGCCAAAATGTCTCGAAAGGAGAACCCCCTCCAATGAGGATAACTCTTGACTCGGCACGACTTGCTGAAGACATCATCCTTTCATCCCAAAGACCATCGGTCAAATTGTCCTCGCCGCTTCGCATCATGCACGACAAGCCGTGGTCGGTACGAGCGGAAGCCTGGACTACGCCAGGCACCCAAGTGCAGGCCACCATGGTGGTTCACGGTGTACCTGGACTCGCTGACGGTAACCTAGCCGAAGCTAACGAGCACGACGTGCAACAGTGGCGATGGCTATCGTGTAGCCTATCCCTCCACACCAAGATGGCTGTTTGCATTTCTAGGTTGCACTGCTCCTCACACCTTACGTCCGTCAAGTCACCACGCCTGATGGCTATGACATTTAAGAACCGGGAAGACCTGACTGAAGCACTCCAAGCTTGGTACAGTTCGAGGAACGATCTGTCTAACCAAATTGGGTGTTGCGAAAGCCGACCTAGGTCTGTGAGACAACAGCAGGGAGGTCACAATGAACGCACAAAACTGATAGTTAACCTCGGTCAACAATCCTTGGAACAAGACACGATTGAAAATCCGAAAACGGCTGCTGATGCAGAAGTGCACTAGGTGTTGAGACAAACCACCGAGTGCCTCTATAGCGACATAAGAAGACTAAGGATTTAGCTGTTAGAAATCAGGAATATGTGTTCTCAGATGGATCTGAAGATCATAATCCTAATTGAAACAAGGCTATCCCTTGACATTGCAGACGAAGAAGTGAGCTTGCCAGGCAGACACTCTTCCGAAGAGATAGGGTACACCAAACTGGAGGCAGAGTGGCTATATATATAAACAGCCACTTAAAATCCGAGCGGCTATACGACACTCAGCTAACTGAGGTGACAGAATCATGTTGGTGTTGTTTCCACTCGAATGGCACGAAATAATTGATTGGAGGGATTTACAGACCTCCCTCGAGTACAAAGGCCCAGAAAAGCAAACTGATTGAGGTAATACTGCAACTGCCATTCCTGGGGTTTGATCAAATACTCTTAGCTGGAGGTTTCAATACCCCATCTCTAAATCTCAGTAATCAGAGTATAACTCCAACTGGTTGGTTCCAAAGACAACTTGGTACAGCAATTAGAAGCTCTGGGTTGACTGAGCACGTATGCAGTGCCGCTAGATGGACTAAGGAAGGGAAGTCCTCAAACCTGGATAACCTGTTAACAAATGACCAGCTCCTGGTTGAGGATGTTCACATCCGTGACCATGACACAGTCTTATTTAACAGGGTCATAAACGAAACACTCAAACGCGACGATAACGAGCACTATCTTTGCTACACTAGGGCAAAATATACACGTATGAGAGAGGTCCTCCTACATGCCCCATTGCCACGGGAGTGGTGGAGGCTGACAGTAGATGATCACTGGCAAGCAGTGAGAGATATCATCCAAAACGCTGTCGTAGACAATATACTTCAGTCACACCACATACGCGGGAATAGAAGAACCTGAGTTAGGCGCGGCACTGAACACTTGCTACAGGCGAAGAGGAGAGCCTGGCACAAGTGGAAGGTCTACTTGAAGGATTCCGATCGCAGTTATTACTTGGTATTGAGAAACAGATGCAATACTAAAGTTCGAAGTGACAGGAGACAATTTCAGATGAAGCTAGCTGCATAAATAGAGTCAAACCCGAAACATCTGTTTAGGTTCATATCCAAAAGAAAACCTACTAATCAAGGGTTGTGTTCTCTCAAAGGACCAAACAATGAAGACCTCACCAACCTATATTATCAAAGGTTATGGAAGAGCTGGTGGATGAACAAATGAAGTAGTACATGGATAAGAATAAAATATTCCATGAAGCTCAACACGGGTTTCGGAAAGGCAGGTCGTGTGCATCTAATCTTCTCATAGCATGGGAGAGTTGGACATCATGTTTGGACCGTAAAATACTGGTGCAAGTAATATTTCTCGACTTTGCAAAAGCCTTTGACACAGTACCCCAAGCACGCTTATTCAAAAAGGTTGTGGAAATGGACTTCATCGAATCACTCCTATATTGGCTCAGAAACTACCTTGAGAATAGAAAGTTTCGTACCAAGGTAAACAGGGTGCACGCGAGTTGGAGAGTATCCACTTCAGGAGTTTCACAGGGGACCATCCTAGGCCCACTCCTCTTCCTGATATTTATTAACGACCTGCTAGGCTTAGTTATCTCACCGGCACTGATCTACGCAGACGATGCGAAGATCTGGAGGTCCAATAGAAGCGAAGAGGATTCGACTGAGCTTCAAAAAGGACCTTACATCTATTAAGAAATGAGCAGTGAAAAACGGTTTGAAACTCAACCAACCGAAGTGCCACGTCATGCATATTCTGCCTCACACGACGCCAACGATCTACACTCTCAATGGAAGTCCGCTCCATAATGTCTCCTCAGATTGCGTTCTCGGTTTAATAACCACAGATAACCTCCACACCAGTCCCAACTATGTAGGGAACGCAGCCAAGGCAAATGCGGCTCTTCATTTTATTCGAAGACAACTTGGTAATATTACCCCGCATTTATTCTTGACCCTATTTAAGACGTACGCGCGCCCACACCTGGAGGTTCACAATGTCATCACACCCCGTCTGCTTAAAAGAGACATTAATCTCTTGGATCGCGTGCAGAGACGAGCGACCAAATCGGTGGTAGGATTGAAAAATAATTCCTACGACGATAGAATCCAGCTTTTGGGATAATTCCCACTGAGCTACAGGAGAATCAGAGGTGATCTGATTATGGCGTACAAAATTAAGCACTCCAAACCATCCCAAAGTGAGCATCTTATCGACGCATCACCACCACTCACCTCGAGGCAATCCTCGAAAGATTGCACATCAAAGAGCGAATGCTCAGGTTCGTGCACACTTCTTCTCATTGCGAGTCGTCACAACTTAGAATGCTCTCATAGCCGAGGTGACCACAGCCCCCTCAGTGGACTGCTTTAACAAGAGATTTGATGATCACGTTCTCACATACGGACTATCATCTCCCTCTTGGACAAGCTGTGCATGATGCATGTCTTGAGACCTGCTAGTTGTTACCATTGCCATCTCCTCAGATCACTTACTTAATCTATCTCACCTCTCATCTCTGTTCCCTCCCCCTTGCTTACACTTCGGTCCTCTCTCACAATCTTCACTACCAATTAACAAACTAAATTCATCTAAATATTACTCAGTTCTGAAATTTTATTCATATTATCATTAGAATTTTATCCTTATTGCCATTAATACTGTCAACATTGCAAATAACTGATCTCCGGTCTGGTAATGTGATGGCTGCTGGCATCCAGAAACCCTACTACCCTGAAACAAACGTTTTCATTCAAATCCCGAGACATACAAACAACCAACTACCGACTGACTAGAATTAGACAGTCGAGTGGCTAGACCTCCATCCATTGGACATTACCGAACACCTGGAACCGTACCGAAAGAACAAGAATCGAGTGCAAAGAAATCAGTTGGTTTACACTAGCTCATGAAAAAGATATTGGATATTTGAATCTACGTGTTCGCTTTGACCTTCAGGGTCATAGACGTATGTAACGTTTTCGAAACTTTGCTGTACGCGACTCATTAAACAGCCTGTCTACTCTGCACCCCCCCACCGCACACTAGCCACCTCCTGGCTAGAGACAAGCTAACCAGAGTCTTAATTTACACATGCCCTTGCACCTTCTGACAATTCGTCTTATATGAGAAAATGATATTCCCTTGTGCCTAATTATACAAATGAATATGCCTACTCTTTTATGTTCGAGAATTACAAATCGCTGTGATTTAAGTTGATTCGTTATCGAAAATACTAAGATACGACTTTCTGGTTGTATATAGTTGGACACTATGCAGTCTCATATTAAAAGTAACCCAGACTTTATGCGGGCAATTAAGATTCGAACTGGAATCCTTTTGTTATCGTCATCTCTTTCGGTGCAAGTCATTGTACACTGCATAAGCTGACTTGTAAATCTTATCATTAGCTCTTATGGAATCACCACCAAAGAGGCTAGCCCAATTATTGTAATCGTTTGCCCTGTTTTGTTTCCCTTCGGACCACTGAGTTGCGTCAGTGAATAGTAGTAAGGCTGTATGTAAGCATGGCACTGGATATTTGTCCAAGTTCTCGTTACTTATAAATAACAGTCCATAAGGTGATGTTTGTGCCTAGTGCGAGGAATAATGCTAGCACATACCATTCAGTCATTAAAAATTTGTTGATTCATTGTAATATAAATGCTAATTAGTTAAATGCATTGATTTTAGATCTGGGTATAATGGAGTAAACAGAATGTTTGGCCTCGGTAAACGGAATTAATCTAACCAGTTATTTACAAAAAGCGCTCTCCCAGTGTCACTTTCCATTGATATAATACTTATGTGGACTCCTCCAGTTTGTGATAACCCTCCACCTTTCAACATCGAGAAAGAGCTGGTTCCTACTGTAATATCGGAATCATCATCCAAATCATCTGGTGTATCTTCCTCCTCTAGTGGTTTAGACCGTGATATTTTGAAAAACGACTACCCACAATATACTGCACAAAACATCAGATACCAGCACTATCCGGTTCCGGTAATTAAAAGTACTTTTTTTATGTAACATCTTATGCTCATATATTTACATAGGTTAATTTCCCCGTCACTTTACTCTCGTTGAGTTTAAGGTAAACTTCTTGGAGTGCCTTCCTAGATACCAGTTCCATGCAATCGGTCTGCCAGTCCTAAACAACTTGTTAAACAAAGAATATTGTTGGTTTATAGGCTAACACCAATGACCTCATCTATGGATTAATTATTATTCATAGCTACATATTTGAAAATATACGTGGTTATTGAGCAGTGAAGAACTAAACAGTATTGTATATATTTCTAATTAGCACACTACAATCACATATAGTGTAAAGTCTAAGACTGGTCCTGAATCTAAGTTGCCAATCCACTTCAACAAACCGAAAGTAGAAATTAATTATGTAACAGAGAAAGAGAAATAGTACCACCGCAGTGTGGCGATGAACATAAAAAGTGTAATATAAGAACAGTAAATAAAATCAAATGATGTAAATTACTAAATCGTGTTAAGCCGATGATTTGGAGTTGGACCGCCAAAAATATCACGGTATCTAAATATCAACAAAATGTTTTTGAAATAGTTTTACATTCTTCCTGATTCTGTAATTTGTTGGTATGAGTTGAATTTTCGGTTTTTATTTGACGTAAAACTTGCATAAAATAGAGGCTGAAAATAAATAATAGATAGTATTAAAAGTAACTTGAACAACCGCATTGTTTCTGTAAAACTTCAACCCCTCATTCAGTGACTCAGTAACAACGTAGAACTTCGTACGTAAGTACATCAGTTCATGTCACCATACCACAGCACAGAGATATAATTGTCAATTCAAATCCAATAGTAGAAGAGGTTGTAAAGGTATTAGAAGTAATCGGAGAGGTTAGGATTAGAAGATATTATTCAAGAAGTATGATTCAGTGAGAAAAGTTTAGAAAGTCAAAAGTAGAGGGGTTGAGGAATCCAGAAGATTAGCATTTGAGAGAACACAGAGAATAAATGCACCGGCGCGATTGCGAACGATTTTGAGCCATGTCATTCAAGGTCTCTAACCATCGATTATTATCATCTCGCGGACCCCAACCAGGTAGTCGACAATTACCGACATGGCTAAGTCCACTCGTCAATGACTTCATGGATTTCTGCCATGTTTTGGTTTGGCCGCCCCTAGCTTTCTTCCAACCTATTCCTACACTACAAAACAAAGCTCGACGAGTCAGTCGGAGGTTGGGCATACGCAACACATGGTGGAGACAACCTGTAGCTCAGGTGGATGATTGTGGTGGTGTTTTGTTCTCTGAGCTGGTTGTTTTGATTGTGGAGCTTTCATTGTTCTTCTGAACAACATCATCAGCACAAACTTCAGATAGAAGTGAAGCATTCGAATTTCTCCACGTTTGACCTGTAGCTTGTTCTGTTAACCTCGATCTTGATTGGTTGCTGTTGTCTTTTGATCTGTCGTTGTTTATAATTTTGTTCTGATTGCAATCAAAACAACCAGCTCAGAGAACAAAACACCACCACAATACGCAACACATGTCCACACCACCTCAACTGATGAAGTGTCACTACTGCGTCTATTGATCTGCCATTCTTACCTAGCACCCGATTCCTAATAACAGCGTTGCTCACTCGGGTGTCCCACGATATACGAGCAATGCTTCGAAGACACCTATGATCGAAAACAAGTAACCTACGGATATCTTCTACTGTCACTGGCCATGTTTCACAGCCATAAAGTAAAACGGAGCGAACAACTGCGCAGTACACTCGTCCTTTAGTCAGCAAACGGATATCTCGCCTACGCCATAAGTGACGCAGCTTGGCAAAAGCCAATCGAGCCTTCTGTATCCGTGCTGAGTTTTCGTCAGTCAACAGGCCATCAGCACTGATGAGACTCTCAAGATAAGTGAGGCGGTCTACTCGCTCGACTACTTCACTCCCTATCACTAGTTCAGGTGCCGATGAAGTCCAATCTTGAAGCAACATTTTGCATTTCGAAGGGGAAAACCGCATCCCGAACATGCCTGGATTGTTGCTTAGGGTGGTCAGAAGACTCTGCATTTTGTCAGCGTCTTCACGGAATGGAACTGTGTCATCGGCATATTCTAAGTCAATAAGCGAGCCACCTGGTAGGTCTACTCCTGAAAATTCAGACGAGGATAAGGTTATTTCTAGCAGCATGTCTATGATAAAATTAAACAAGAATGGAGGAAGTGGACATCTCTGACCGACACCCCTTAAAGTAAAGAATTCCGTTGACAGTTCGCCATAAACTCTCACTCGACCAGTGGTGTTCGAGTAGAGAGCTTGTATAAGGTTAATGTACTTCTTTGGTACACCTTTCAATGCCACTGAACCTCACGATCAACAGAGTCAAATGCCGCTTTTAGGTCCAGGAAAACAACTATTGTAGGACGCCTAAATGTGTGCCTATGTTCCAGGACCTGTCTGAGTGTGAAGACGTGGTCTATACAGCCACGTCCAGGTCGAAAACCAGCCTGGTTTTCTCGAGTTTGCTCTTCACGAGCTTTCGTTAAGCGTCGAAGTATTATTGAGGCCAATATTTTAGATACTATATTAGTTAGACTTATTCCCCTATGATTGTCACAAGAAGACTTTTGTCCTTTCTTATAGATTGGGATAATCAAGGATTGAGACCAGTCGGATGGGATTACGTCCAGTTCCCAGATTCTACCTAAGATCTGGGTCAACCTAGCTGCTAAAACAGGACCACCATCCTTAAATATCTCAGGGGTCAGTATATCAAGACCTGTAGCTCGTTCTCGCTTCAGATTTCCTAACGCTTTTTCAACTTCATTAAGACTAGGGGGACTTATGTCGACTTGCCATATATGATGACTGGAGATCGTGGGTAACCGAAGAGTGGCTCGAGGCCAGTTGAACTGATCCCTAAAGTGTTCTGCCCATCGATCCAGTCTCCTCGATTGAGAATGGATAATAAGACCGTCCTTTTCCGAGATAGTCTCACTTACACTAGGATTCCTAATACCAGTTTTCTTGACAAGTTGGTACAACTGTCTGTTGTTGCCTGTCGCCGCTGCCTTTTCCATCTCTCTCGATTTCCTTACCAATCACTGCTCTCGATCATTGCGTAGTGTTTTTATCGGTCTGCGCCTAAGCTGACTTCGCTCCTCATCGCGCTCAGAGCCAGGCGCGATGAGTTTTCGAGCATACATCAGATCGGTAGATGCTATTGAGATCCATGGCTTCATCCTAGCCTTATGGTTTACCTTACTAGAAGATATCACTGCTGTTTCCACAGCCTTTTTGATATCATTCCAACCTGCTTCCGGATGGGAATCGCTTCAATGATCGCCTAACTGTCTTTCTAGTTGTTCCTGAAATATATTCTTCGCCTTATTATCATTAAGTAAAACCCTAAGAGGCTTCCTTAAGGTGTCTTTCCTACGCCCAGTAAGCCTCAAACAGATACGCGCTCGCACTAGGGCATGATCTGAATCCAAACATATGCCCCACAACGAGCGACAGTCTTCTATCGAACCCCTCCATCGGTGGCTGATGGCGATGTGATCTAGTCGAGCCCAACGTTGAGACGACTTTGGAGGTCGCCAGGTCAACAGATGTGTTTCCTTATGCCTAAAGTTAGTGTTTTCTAGAAATAGGCGGTTATCTGAGCATATTTGCAACAGACGGTCACCATTGTCTGTTCTCTGAGCCGCGACACCATAACATCCACCTATGTGTCTTTCATTTTTACTTAGTCTACCTACTTGAGCATTGAAGTCACCAGCCATTATTACTACATCAGAGGACCTAGCGTTTTGGAGGAGGTCCGAAAGCTTTCTGTAAAACTCATCCGGGAGCAGGTTGGTATGATATCAAAAAGGCTGTGGAAACAGCAGTGATATCTTCTAGTAAGGTAAACCATAAGGCTAGGATGAAGCCATGGATCTCAATAGCATCTACCGAACTGATGGATGCTTGAAAACTCATCCCGCCTGGCTCTGAGCGCGATGAGGAGCGGAGTCAGCTTAGACGTAGGCTGACAAAAAGCCTACGCAATGATCGAGAACAGTGGTGGGTGGAGAAAGCGAGAGAGATGGAAAAGGCAGCGGCGATAGGCAAGCAGAGTCTCCTGACTACCCTAAGCAATGATGCAAGCATGTTCGGGATGCGGTTCTCACCCTCGAAATGCAAAATGTTGCTTCAAGATCGGACTTCATCGGCACCTGAACTAGTGATAGGGAGTGAAGTAGTCGAGCGAGTAGACCGCCTCACTTATCTTGAGAGTCTCATCAGTACTGATGGCCTGTTGACTGACGAAAACTCAGCACGGATACAGAAGGCTCGATTGGCTTTTGCCAAGCTGCGTCACTTATGGCGTAGGCGAGATATCCGTTTGCTGACTAAAGGACGAGTGTACTGCGCAGTTGTTCGCTCCGTTTTACTTTATGGCTGTGAAACATGGCCAGTGACAGTAGAAGATATCCGTAGGTTACTTGTTTTCGATCATAGGTGTCTTCGAAGCATTGCTCGTATATCGTGGGACACCCGAGTGAGCAACGCTGTTATTAGGAATCGGGTGCTAGGTAAGAATGGCAGATCAATAGACGCAGTAGTGACACTTCATCAGTTGAGGTGGTGTGGACATGTGTTGCGTATTGTGGTGGTGTTTTGTTCTCTGAGCTGGTTGTTTTGATTGCAATCAGAACAAAATTATAAACAACGACAGATCAAAAGACAACAGCAACCAATCAAGATCGAGGTTAACAGAACAAGCTACAGGTCAAACGTGGAGAAATTCGAATGCTTCACTTCTATCTGAAGTTTGTGCTGATGATGTTGTTCAGAAGAACAATGAAAGCTCCACAATCAAAACAACCAGCTCAGAGAACAAAACACCACCACAATCATCCACCTGAGCTACAGGTTGTCTCCACCATGTGTTGCGTATGCCCAACCTCCGACTGACTCGTCGAGCTTTGTTTTGTAGTGTAGGAATAGGTTGGAAGAAAGCTAGGGGCGGCCAAACCAAAACATGGCAGAAATCCATGAAGTCATTGACGAGTGGACTTAGCCATGTCGGTAATTGTCGACTACCTGGTTGGGGTCCGCGAGATGATAATAATCGATGGTTAGAGACCTTGAATGACATGGCTCAAAATCGTTCGCAATCGCGCCGGTGCATTTATTCTCTGTGTTCTCTCAAATGCTAATCTTCTGGATTCCTCAACCCCTCTACTTTTGACTTTCTAAACTTTTCTCACTGAATCATACTTCTTGAATAATATCTTCTAATCCTAACCTCTCCGATTACTTCTAATACCTTTACAACCTCTTCTACTATTGGATTTGAATTGACAATTACATCTCTGTGCTGTGGTATGGTGACATGAACTGATGTACTTACGTACGAAGTTCTACGTTGCATCTGATTGACTGACTGACTACTTGTATGAGAGCGATTGTCACTTCACGGCTGCCCACACCATGGAAGGTTGTTTCTTCGGGGACTTGAAAGGGAAGATAGGTTAGTGTTGGTCTTGGAGACCTTGGAGCGTGAACGCAGAGTCCATGGGACAACTGCTTGTGGTTGGTTACGCACGGCCTTTTTATGTAGGGTATTTTGACTATTAGCTGCGGTCTCGAATGCGCTTATTGGGCAACCTTACCATCGGAGACGGAAATCCGTGAAGTAGGGTGAGGTGTGACATTTTTAGGGTCGACTTATTCTAACCCTTCCTTACTTGTGAGAAGGCAGCATCGCTGCAGATGCTGGTTATCTGAGTGAAACACCTTACTGCTGTCACACCCGTCTGCAGGCAGCTGTACTACTTCGCCCTCAGAGCATGGGTAGATGCTTTTAGTCTCATCGTTATTCAGTCGACCTGCCTGGCATGGTAGGACCTCAGGAACATATGTTCCAGCCAGTATAGGTAGGTTGGGTCATGACGATAGTCAAGCCCGACCACCACGTCAAGGTGGCATCTACGATCCGGGACTAATTACTAACGAATATGCACTACTCTCACCGGCCGTGTTTCTCATTATTATAGTAAGATCGAGCGATTTGCTGCGCAGCAAACTCATCCTCTGTTTAGCGAACGGATATCTCGCCTGCGCCATAAGTGACGCGGGTTGGCTTAAGCCGATCGAGCCTTCTGTATCTGTGTTGAGATTTCGTCAGTCACCGGGCCATCAGCGCTGATGAAACTTCCCAGATAAGAGAGGCGGTCTCACTCCCGACTACTTCACTCCCTATCACCAGTTTAGGTGCCGAGACAACCTAATCTCGAAGCAACATTTTGCATTTCGAGGGTGAAAACTGCATCCCGAACATGCCTACATTGTTGCTTAGGGTGGTCAGAAGACTGCATTTTGTCAGCGTCTTCACGGAATAGAACTGTGTCATTAGCATATTCTAGGTCAATAAGCGAGCCTCCTGGTAGAAGTTTCACCGCTGAAAAGTCTGACGAGGTTAATGTTAACTCTAAAAGGATGTCTATGACAAAGTTAGACAAGAATGGAGATAGTGGACATCCCTGACGGAGACCACTTGATGTAGAGAATTCAGATGACAGTTGGAGTAGGTTGGAAGAAAGCTAGGGGCGGCCAAACCAATACATGGCAGAAATCCATGAAGTCACTGACCATTGTACTGAATCATGTTGGTCGGTGTAGACTATCTTGTTGGGTTCCGTGAGATGAAAGTAACCGATGGTTAGAGACCGTGAACGACATGGCCTAAAATCGTTTGCAATGGCGCAGGTGCATCCACCACTTGTATTCTCTCAAATTCGGATCTTCTGAATTATTCATCGCCCTTATTTTTCTCTTCCTAAACTCATCGCACGGATTTACGCTTGTTGAATAATATTTTCGAACTGTAGTCTTTATTATTACCGCTAACACATTTTTTCTCTCTACCGCTATGGTATTTGAACTGACAGTTGTGTCTCTGTGTTAATGCGGTATGGCAACGTGATCTGTTGTATCTGCTTACGAATTTCTATTTTGTGACTGACTAACGAAGAGAAATTTGTCTTCTGGAAATGTTATCAATTTCTTCATATTGCAAAAACTATGTTTAATTTTTACGTTTCCAACTTTGTGTGTTATTTAATGTCATAATTCATGAGACTTTGTGTGCGATAAATATATATAATAGATCAACATATAAAAATTTAAATAATTTCGGAAGTAAGCGGCATGTTTACTAACCAAATTGAAGTGTTACGGCTTAAATTTTGCATTTTTAAAGTGGTGTTGATGCCGATGATCTTACTCTGTTAATCATTATAAAAAAACTGTTAATTTGCAAATTAAACGTTCTGTAGATTCAGACAGACTTACAAAAGGATCAATAAAAATGGAATAAAAAGTTAAACCACTTAGCAATATTGCACGTACTGCGTACTTTTATTACTGATCATATGTCATGTTTCTAAACATTTTTTTTACTTTTAGAAGGTTAGATGCTTGTCATTTCCATACCAAATACTTCCCACTTGTGGGTCGAAAGTGTACCTGTATACATGGACTCTCCCAAGAAATGATATAATAAATCAGCTATGTTCACTTGCCGCAACATGTTTTCAAGACACAAATATGTCTGTTGGACTTTTGTTTTCAAAACCAATATCCAAAGTAACTATATTTTTTATAAATATCTGTGAATCCTTCTTGTATGTTTTGGTTTTTCTGAGAACACTATTTTACTTGCCAACCTGGATTATGCGATCAAAAATTATGGTGGCTCTAATTAACTTCATATTAGGCCTTGTTTTTCCATCTAAGATTTTGCTAAAATAAGAAATGATTCTTTTTAACCTTTACATACAGTAGTTCGGAAATATCTACTATGTAATACCTACTTTTAGTAATTGAATACTTTATTTGTCCAAGTTAGCTAAAGTTGTGTTTCGTAATCGAGTGATCGTATTGGTATGACTAAAGAGTGGTATGTAGTCAGGTGGTTCAAGATTTCTGTCCTTGAAATCGATGTCTATTCGTAAGGTCCAAATTTCCTAATCTACTTTCACCGGGTAATTGTAATCAGTGGCTGAAGGGTAGATTACATGACACATAATCGGTCTTAACGGTGTCACTACATTTATTCCAGTCATGAACCTAGCCTTAAATTTTCTGACTATCTATTACTTCTATTTCATCTGTTCTCTTATCGTTATTCTGCTGTTATTATTCTTGCCCACTTAGTTTTCCGCTTGTCGATTTTTTGCGATGTTAGTATGAATTGAGACAAGTTGATGCGTCCTACATTTAAACCAGTTCCTGCCTTGTATTTCTGTCTATCAGATCAGAATATGCTATTATCTCATGAAGCTAGTTACTACTGGTTTTATCTATTCTCGAGGCTAGGAAGTTGCTTAGTTACTGGGATTGACATTAGTCTGTTCGCAAAGTGCAGACGATAGCCCCTCAATTAAACCTTACTGGGATTGACATTAGTCTGTTCGCAAAGTGTGGATGATAGCCCCCAAATTTAACCTCACTAGTCCAGTGAAAATGCTTATCACAAATTAGTCATTTCCGTTTTTGAATGCTGCCTTGTAAAAGTCAAAAGTAAACTCCAGTTGTCGAAGAAATTACTATTAATCAAACAAAGTCAAAGTTCCAATGCACACATGATTTGGAGTAGGCATTTTATTTTTAAATCACTACTAGCAGTTGACTTCGTAATCTATGGCAAGGATAATAAGAGTTCATCCTATGTGCCGTATCATGTCACTACTATGAGTGTGCTAATGCAAATATTTCAAAAATCATGTTCATAACATCCACCTTACATATTGATTATTTTTCAATGTGCGATCCGTCCAGTTGTAGAGATGATACTCATTGGTTTAAGCATTTTTAACCTGTGGATTTGAAGTCTAAACTCACATCATCGATCTCTAAGCATCTAGTTAGTGTGAATAAACGCATGAAACCAGTATGGTTAATACAAATCTGACTATAAAATTCGTAGATGCTTAGGAAATCATATTCTGTTTTTATTTTTGTGACAATATTTCAACCGAAAAAAAATTATACGTTCACAAAAAGACTTATCAGCAAATTGTGTATTTTCTCTCATTTTGAAATATCAATAGAAAGATTATGTTTGTCGAATTCCTCTTTATCTAACTCGTGGTATGGTTCGTTCACGTGTGCGATTAGTAGGAACATTTACACTGAATGAGGAGGAATTAAAGTGTGTCGAATCAGCTCATCGTGTGATAGCTGAATTAATTACAAATATTGGTCATATTTCGCATGTTGGTTATAAACCGTCAGATCCCCTTCTCCGTACTCATTTCGATAGACAAAATGCTTCAACGGATGTCTCTGAATCTCTCCGTGTCATATTGTTCGATCGATTTGGTGACTTATTATTCAATCCCGAGAAAGCAAATATCCTGTCATTGCTGACGCTGATCCGACTACCAGGTAAACTGTACAAACTGTTTAGTTACATGATACTTTCTAAAACCTTGTCCGTCTGAGTGTTAGTCGGTACTAAGGTAAATGTTGTTGAGGATTTACAAAAATCAGATAAATATTGTAATCAGTAGTATGTTCAGATCAGGTGGAATGTTTCAAATAGATACGATATAAAAGCTCTTCCGTAACATGGCGCAAAACTGTAGGCGGTTACGTGCCGAAATAACTGGGCATAAGTAAGTGATAGTAATGAACAATGAGTTAGAATAAGTCAATTTATAGAATAGAATTCCAAACTGGAAAATGTGGAAAACTACTGTGGTGATGTAATGAAGTAGAGTTTGATGTCACTAAAATAAGCCATATGTCCTTAGGGCGAAGAGAGAATTACAAGTGTCTTTGGCATTACAATTATATCAGTTTATATATATATATATATATATATATATATATATATATATATATACATCGGGCACGGCGATCATACCACTTGTCGAGCTTTGGGCATAAGTTGGAATATAAGCGATGATACCTTTCGTTTTTATGTCGGGAGGGTAAATGAACCTGTTACACGTCGTAATGTATTGTCATTTGTCGCCTCCATATTCGATCCCATGGGTTACCTAGCACCTGTTATTCTCCCAGCGAAACTTATCCTTCAGAAACTATGCAAAATGAAATTTTCTTGGGATGATTTAATAGTAGGAGAAGAACTAAAGGTTTGGAGAAAATGGCAAGGAAGTCTTACTCATATAGAAAAGATAGTTTTGCCTCGGTCATTAAATGCAGCCGAATGTACTGGAATCGAACTACATATGTTCAGTGATGCCTCTAATAATGGATACGGAGCAGCAGGGTATTTGCTACTACTGAAACAGCAAAGTGTTAAAGAATGTCGACTGATATTCGCTAAAGCTAAAGTAGCACCTATTAGGGCTACGAGTATACCACGTTTAGAATTGGCGGCAGCAGTTTTGTCTGTGAAAATCTCCAAGTTTATCCGAACAGAGATGACTGTTACCATACTCAAAACAGTTTATTGGACTGACTCTCTCGTCGTACTCCATAGCATAAACAATGCTTCCAAGAGATTCCCTACGTTTTTTGCTAACAGGTTGGTCTATATACAGGAACAGACGAGGCCATCAGACTGGTGTTACGTTAGTTCTAAGCTCAACCCAGCGGATCTGCTTTCCCGAGGGTTCATGGTAAACCAAGAACGAAAATTAAAACGATGGCTTAGTGGTCCAACATTTTTATTGCAGGGATATGTTCAGCAGGAACCACACCAGAACACTAATGCATGCTCCTATATAAACTATATGTTGTCAAATAAAGATTTATATCCAAACGAGAATCAACCTACGTTTCTGAGTCGATTCGAAGCTGTGAATTCATGGATGAAATTACAACGAATGATAGCTTGGCTTCTACGTTATAAACATCTCTTGACGAACAAATTAACTAACCAACAAAACCTCACAGTCGCAGAGTTAAGAGCGGCTGAGCTCAACATTATCCGATTGGCGCAGAAGGAATGTTTCAATGATGTATTTAAGCTGTTGAATCACGTCACGGTGGTGACGAGTGAGAAGGAGGTCGACCGAACAATTAAAGTAGCATTATGCAAGTCTTCAAGTCCACTACGTCATTTGAAACCAATTACGGTTAATGGAGTAATAAGAGTTGGTGGGCGCTTACAACAATCAGGTCTACCCTTTGAAGTAAGGCATCCGATTATACTACCGCATAATCATTTTATTACCCGTTTAATTATTAGACATTATCATGAAGCGAATGGACATATGGGAGTAAACTTTCTGATTTCAACAATCCGTGAAAGATATTGGATCATTAAAGCAGTGAAAACCATCAAGTCGGTTCTCAATAATTGCTATAAGTGTCGTAAGTGGTTCTCTCAACCTTGCCAACAGGCTATGGCACCCCTACCAGAAGATCGTTTTATGTACCACTGTAATCCATTTACTGTGACAGGTGTCGATTATTTTGGACCACTATTTGTGAAACGTGGACGGACCGTGGAAAAGAGATACGGCTGCTTGTTCACTTGCTTCAGCTCAAGAGCGGTTCATTTAGAAATATCCAATACCCTAGATACCGATTCTTTCCTTTGTGTCTTTAGCCGATTTGCGGCACGTAGGGGCTACCCACAACGCCTGTATAGTGACAACGGCAGCAACTTTAAAGGTGCAGAAAGGGCAATAAAGTGTTTAATGAGAGCTTGGAACCAAGAAAAAATATCGAAAAACCTTGCCGCTCACAATTGTGACTGGATATTTAACCCTCCAAAGGCTTATCATCGAGGAGGAATATGGGAGCGAATCATCAAAACTATTAAAAGAATATTAGTAGTTGTTCTCGACGAACAACCGGTCACCGATGAGGTATTACATACGACTCTAGTGGAGATAGAGAGGATTTTAAACAACCGGCCTATAGTGAAGATGGTAGAAGATGTCGATGGCATACAAGCGCTTTCACCTAGCATGTTACTATTGCCTAGAGCAAGCGAACCAGCTAGCATCGATGAAAAGGACTATACAACAAAGTACAATAGAAGATGGCGACAAACATTGTACTTGGTCGATCTTTTTTGGAAAAGGTGGTTGAAGCTATATATCCCAACGCTACAGTTAACGCAACGATGGCACGATCCTAAGCCTAATTTGAAGGTTGGGGACTTAGTGTTGATGATAGAGTCTGCACGATCGAGAGGGCAATGGCCGAAGGCGGTCGTCACAGATATACAGGAAGGTACCGACGGCTTAGTTCGGAAGGTAACGTTAAGAACAGCTAACGGGACAGTGAGAAGAGATGTACGGCAGTTATGCAAGTTAGAAGGTGAAGTTGAAGAATCACAGAACCCTGAACAATTAGAAACATCCCAGGATTCTTCAACCTCAGGGGGCAGTGTTGGATTTAGTTGTAATGGTTGTACTACTCATGAGTAGTTGGGTGTTTACTACATAATTTGTAACTTGCATTTTATTGGTTAGTATGATCGAACAATCTAGAAGTTGTTTTCTATTGGTCGAAACATTGACTGTTTGGTCAGCCATTTTGTTTGGCATTCTATTCGCTTGGTGTGTGAGACACGGATCGTTGTGATAATTTGTTGTTGTTGTTGTTGTTGTTGTTGTTGCTTAATCACCTTGAATGTAAGTAACTAGTAAATTAATAATTGTTTGTTGCAGAACCACATACGATATTTATTTAACTGTTCCAAATAAATATTCCGAATACTCAAAGAGCTTTTAATTCATTGACTTCGGGTGCGTTATTCTGGTGAATCTAACGTTATGCAACGTGAATCCTACAGTATGTTCAGATCAGGTGGAATGTTTCAAATAGATACGATATAAAAGCTCTTCCGTAACATGGCGCAAAACTGTAGGCGGTTACGTGCCGAAATAACTGGGCATAAGTAAGTGATAGTAATGAACAATGAGTTAGAATAAGTCAATTTATAGAATAGAATTCCAAACTGGAAAATGTGGAAAACTACTGTGGTGATGTAATGAAGTAGAGTTTGATGTCACTAAAATAAGCCATATGTCCTTAGGGCGAAGAGAGAATTACAAGTGTCTTTGGCATTACAATTATATCAGTTTATATATATATATATATATATATATATATATATATATACAATATCAAACTTAATGGACATTTTGAAATACTCTTCCGTAGATGAGGTG